GCCGTGTCGGGCCTCGCCTGAGTCTGGGTCTGCCCGCACCGGGGCAGGAGACAGGACCTCCACCCGAGTCCCTCCATCCCCATCCGTCCCCCGCCCAGCCCCAGGGAGGTGGCAGTAGCCCGGGGCCAGGCCCAGGGGCTGCCCCGGGGCTCGCCTCTCCTGGGCTGCTGGGTGCCCCTGGCCCGGAGCAGCGCAGGGCAGGCGGGGATGGGTGGGAGCTGGGGGCACATGGCGGGGAGGGGGGTGAGGGGGAAAGCCAGAGAAAATCCCCTCCCAGGGCTGCTGGGGCCTGAAACCTCCCACGAGCTCCTGCTTTCGCTTTCCAGGGCTGTGCAGCTGCACCTAGGGGTTGGGGCGACCGTGGGACCCACGTGGGGGGCGCAGGCTCCACTGTCCTGGCCCAGCTGGCTGGGGGGCATTGCAGGGAGTGCCAGCATGTGAGATGGGGCAGGGCCCGCTGCGCAGCCCCCCGCGGCCTGGCTCAGCCCCCAGCGGCGCCGAGGCTGGCGGGGGGGGGGGGGGGCACGTCGCGACGGGGCGGCGAGAGGCACTGGGGCCTCGTCCCACAGCCCCCACCACCCGAGGCCGCCAGAAGCCGAAATCAAACCCACCGCAGGCCTCGGCGCCACCAGCTATTTATAGATGCCGCAGGGGAAATGGTTATGAGCAGGAACCAGCAGGAGGGGAAGGAGCCCCTGCGCCCCACAGCCCCACCCGGGCCGGGCCAAGCCCCCTCCTTGGGCACCAAGCCTGCTTCTTGCCACCCAGGAATGGCCCCACACCTGGGCAGCAGCCACATGGACCCCACAGGCTGGAGCCACTGCCAGGGCCTGGCACCCACTGGCCTGGTCTCCCTTCCCCTCAGGGCTGCTGGGCTCTCCTGGTGCCAGGGCAGGGTCTGCCAGCTCTGCCCTCCCCACCCTGGCTTGGCGGGTGCTGGAGGGAAGTGCCTGCGGCGGGCAAAGCTGCGCACCTCCCCCAGCTTTCTCTAAGTTGAGCAGTTTCCCGCAGGCCCTGCACCCTGCTCCATGGGCTGCCGGCGCCCGCTTCCAGGCAGGCGGCTGCCCCTGAGCACCGCCCCTGCCACAGCCCCCTGCCTTCTAGGAACCCGCTGCCAACCGCAGCGCATGCCACCCCCGTCTGCCCCAGTGCTGCGCAGCCCCCCAAGCCCAGCGCTATTTTTAGGCACTGTCAGTTCTATTCTGGCACTCAGGACCGCGGCTGCATCTCCCCAGGGCGGGGCCTGGGCCCCCTGCCCACGGTAAGGCCTCGGTGTCCATGGTGAGGCCTCGGTGCCCACGGGTGCCCCGTCCCCAGCACCTGGCACAAGGCCTACTGGGGGTCAGCTTCATGCCTCCAGCCAGATGTAGCGCCTGCTTTTGTGCCCAGCCCAAATCCAGTTCGGGGTTGTGGGACCCTGCCTGGCCAGGAGGGTGGAGACCCAACAGGCACTCACCTTCCTCTCCCCCGGGCAGCGCGGCCGTGATGAGGGGAGGCGAGGGCAGTGATGCCAGACAGGGCATCAGGCCGGGGCAGGCAGCCGCAGCCGTCTCTGCCGGGCCGGGCAGCGTGGCAGGAAGGACCGGGCTGGCGGTCATCGGCAGTGGGTGGCTGTGGCAGCACGTGGCCTGCAGAGGGCACTGCTGGTCCCTGCATGAGCCCGCGGCCTGCCAGGCCGTACACTGCAGCCCGTGTGCACCTCAGGCCCGGACCCCACATGGCTGGTGCACCTGCCTGGGCATGGTGCTGGGAGCAGCAGGCCCTGGGAGTCCTGCCAAGACCCACTGCCCCAGCAGCCTGCTGCTGCCCAGCACCGCAGTGACACTCAGGCTCTCTTGGTGCTGGCACCGTTTATTGAGTTACAAACAGTAGCGCGTGCCACGTGCAGAAGCCAGTCCCCTCTGCACTCCTGCATGGCCCCACTCCTGGCCCCTGTGGGCAGGTACCCATTGCAGGGTCACAGCATTGCCCCCATGCCCAGGCCCTGGCCCCCTTGCCAGAGAGACAGGCCCTGCTTCTTCCCTCTGTCCTTCCCCTGCCTGCTGCACTCAGCCCTGCCACCCCTCCTGCCATCCGGCCCCAGAGCCTCCCTGCCACAAACCCCCCTGGGCTCCAGCCCTCACCCTGGTGCCCAGCTCACCCCCACCTTCCCTCTGCAGACGTACTCAAGCCTCAACTGCCCATGACGGGACCCCTGCCTCCTGGGCCAGTGCCCTGCCACCCCCTGCACCTCAGGACCTTCCCCCTGGCCCCTGCCCATGCACCTGGGGCCTCTCATTCCTTTTTCCTTTTTTCTTACAAAAATAAGAGTGCTTTAAATAAATTTTACCTTTTCCACAAGAGGTTAAATAACATCTCTCCCAGGCCCCACAGCCCCGCCTACACCCCAGTATGGGGCAGATACAGGGAGGTCAGCTGTGGGCTCACAGCCAAGCCCCACAGGCAGGGTCACACCTCATGCCTGGTGGGGTGCAGGCCTGAGCGCCCCTGCTTGGGCAGGCACAGGGCCATGGAGGCAGCCCCCAGCACTGCCCCCCACTGCGTCCCATGAGCCTCAGCGTGGCTTGTCAAGCAGGATCTCGAGCCAGCAGGGACAGGACGTAATGCACTGGCGGGAGTAGCAGGGTCCCCAGCCCTTGGCAAAGCTGATGCGAACACTGTGGGGGTCACTGGGCCCATCGCCCAGGGCCCGCCCGCCCGCTGCAGCACCCACCCGCTCGTAGTCAAACACCTTGACAGAGTAGCCAGGCAGCAGCTTGTGCACAGCCTGGCCACGCACACCAGGTGGCCCCAGCGTGGGTGAGTGCACGAAGACGGGGTGCTCGCTGCGGTTATAGGCCCAGATGCCGCCTGGCTCCCGGCTCAGCCGCAGCCCTCGCCCGATCTTGCCACGGGTCCGGTGCACGGCCACACTGCGGTGTGCGGTGCTTAGCTGGCCCAGGCAGAAGCCACTGCCCTGCGGCAGCTCACAGAAGATGTCGACAGCGGCGCCGTGCACAGCGTAGAGCCGGCCCACACGTGTCCGATGCTCCCAGTAGGCCAGCTCGCACCAGTGCCCATCCTTGGCTGCAGGCCGCACAAGGCTGGTGTCTGTGGGGGAAGGACAAGGCCAGCCGGTCACTCGTGGGCACAGTGCCAGCACCGCATCTCCGTGGGACCAGCATCAGGGTGCAGCCTCCTCAAGTGGGGCATGGGACCCCTGGCAGCTCTCTAGGGTGAGGCTCACTGGGGGCCCATGGCCTGGTGCTGGGGTGCAGCATGGGGACCCTTCACTTGGCACTGAGATGCAGCTGCTTCTGGGGTGGGACAGGGCAGGCAGACAGTCACCGTTTGGGACAGGAAGTGAAGGGGGAACTTCAGGAGGCTAAACCGCATGAACCCCCAAGTGGGGGTCACAGTGCTGGGCACTGAAGCCTGCGAGCCAGGTCCCTGCTGTGGGCTCCGGCCCCCTCCCGGTGTGGACAGACATGGCGCCCTGACCGGATGTCCCAGGGCCGTGTGTCCCCAGTACTCCAGTGTGGGGTCATGAGTCACCATGGGCTCCTGTGAGCCGGCACGTAGGCCGGACAGTCCCAGCCACCCTCCCTGGAACCAGGGGCCATGGCAGGGCAAGACCAGGGGGAGGCAGGTCCCAGGAGCGTGGAGGCGCCCCGTGGCCAGCAGCCAGTGTGAGCATGGCTGTGTGCGTCAAGACACATTGTGTGTGTCCCTGCGGGCAGCACTTCCTCCGGCGGGAGCCTGAGTGGCCAAAAATAACAGGAGCCGACGGGGCTGGAGCCGCCTGTGCCGCGCAGACAGGAACCCTCCCCACACAGCTCTTCCTCCGTGGGGAAGCTGGGGACACTGCTCCCCTCGCCTTGTCAGGGAGCCCCAGGGTTTTGCACACAGTTGTGCAGCCCCCTCCCCGCCCTGAAATCAGGCCTGCCTGGTGGGGTCCAAGGTGCACCCCAACCCACAGGGCTCAAGTCTCGCCTTACCGCGCTGGTTGCTGCCAGTGTTGCAGCTGGAGAGGGAGCGCTCCCACGCCTCAGTCCAGGGAGGGGTGAAGGGGGAGACCTTGGAGTAGGGGGGTGGTGGCGTCTCTGCAGGCAGGAGGGAAAGGAGCACAGTGAGCAGCTGGTGGGGGGAGCCAGGTTGGCCCCCTCTAATCCCCTACACCCCACCCCAGCCCACCCAGAGTCCACTGCAGGCCCAGCTGAAGGGGGCAATGCCCTCCGGATAGACAGCCAGGACGGACACATGGATGGACAGACAGGCAGACGGATAGATGGAGGGGTGATGAGGCGTGGAAGAGATGGATGAAGAAAAGGACATGAACAGACAGATGGTCAGAGGGATGCAGGGGCCTGGTGGCAAGTGCCGGGGCAAGGCCGCAGGTGGCTCCCAACTCACCGGGCATGGCCAGGCGGCTGAGGTGGTAGGGGTTGCAGCAGAGCACCGGCCCATCCCCGCAGCCCCAGAAGCTCTGGCAGCAGCTGAGACGCTTGAGCTCGTAGGCATGCCGCAGATCGGGCCAGCGGTACAGGCGGCACAGCAGCACCTGGGGCGGCAGGGCCAGCTTGGCACCACGTGGCTCGGCCCGGGTTACCCAGACGCAGCCGGACGCCCGGGCACCACGGCTCTCCACTGCCTGCACCAGCAGCTCCAGCTCCTCGTCCTTCAGCTTTTTGAAGAGGGCATGCGCAGCCGGCTTGAGTGCCCCAAGCCCGTCCTCGGGGCCTGGCACCATGCACCGCTGCCGCCACAGCCGTCGCACCAGGCCCGAGCGCCGTGAGCGGAACATGGATCCGGGGAACTACGGGGAGGGGAGAGGGGTCACACACCGCCCATACCGGCAGCTGTATCCAGCCCTGTGTGCCACCTGCCTCCCCAGAAGAGCTGCACACACACAGTCTATGCACATGCACAGTCCATGTACACGCACGTACTTGCACACACGTGCATGCACACACAGCCCATGCACATGGATGTGCACACAGATGCACAGGCAGCCCTTGCACATGCACACGCCCCCCCATGCTGGCCCGCTCAGGCACACGTGGCCCCGCACGCCCGCAGTGACACGCGTGTCTGGCACCCG